CCGTGGTTCTCAACCTTCCTAATGCCGCGACCCTTTAATACAGTTCCTCATGTTGTGGTGACCCCCAACCATAAAATTATTTTCGTTGCTACTTCATAACTGTAATTTTGCTACTGTTATGAATCGTAATGTAAATATCTGATATGCAGGATGTATTTTCATTGTTACAAATTGAACATAATTAAAGCATAGTGATTAATCACAAAAACAATATGTTATTATATATGTGTTTTCCGATGGTCTTAGGCGACCCCTGTGAAAGGGTTGTTCGACCCCCAAAGGGGTCGCAACCCACAGGCTGAGAACCACTGGTTTAGACTAAAGACTTCTCAAGATCTCAAGACAGATCTTGAGCCTAGGATTTGGCAAAGAATGAAAGGAATCTTCCTTTATCCTTCAGCCTCCTGAGAACTGCTTAGAGTTTAAAATCAGTTAATAATCAGAGTTCTGCTTTATAAGGATAATACTTTAACCCAGAATTACCCAGAGAACGTGTATGTAGCAGCAATGTAAATGAAATTTTCATAATAAAGCTGTCGGTTATCCTGGAAATCATTCATGTTGCAGTTGATCTCAGAGGAGCCTGCCCCTTTAACAGTCAGAGTGATAAACGGTGGCAGGGCGGGTTCATCCCAGGCGTAATCCAAGGAGGTCATGGGCTTCACTTCAGTTCGGAGCCTGGGCTCAGCTACGCCGTGCTGAGTAAAGACAACCGGGACCTACAGCGATGGCAAGAGGAACAGGGCTGTCACTCACTCTGGTGTTATTGGAACATGACTTAGCACTTCCTAGGTTTAAGTTCCAGATCCTTCCCAAATGAATCCTACTACACACACCACAACCACAAGTGAGGTTCATCATCTTGCCTCTTGACTTTCTAATCACCTTCCAAATTATAAAAAGCCCACCAGTTAAATGACACAGGTAATCGCCTATTGGACAAAGGGCTTTTAGAAGCTTTGCAGCAATTACGAAGGGAAGCAATTCTCCCCTTTCAGTGGCATCTCTGCCACCCTCACCCTTGTGATATACTCTGAACACAGAAAAGCACAAAAATGTTGGAATTCAGCTACAGAAAGTCACATTATAAGACACTGTCATTCAAAGGCATAATTTAAAATAGAATCTAATGGTTTCCAGTTTGGCTTTATTTGTAAGATTTATAAAAATGCTCACTGCAACTGAGTAACGGTATAGCTGCCCCTTCCCACTGTCATTGGACAATCTGACTCAGGCTCCTCTCTCCATGTGGAATGTCCACAGGGCCACCATGTTGACCCAACAATCTAGTCACATAAGCACTGGCGACTGACAAGTCACTTCTGGGTATGGCTGCCCAGCAAGCAAAATAACCAGCAGAAACCACCTCTTAAGGGTGAGGATTTATAGGTTGTCCAGCCACAGAGATTCCTGTATGGCTTCTTTTAAACCCACGTTTAAAATGCATTTCATTATCTTAAGGGCAGTACATACTCCACCCTCTTCAAACTGGCTCTAAACTCCACGTGATACCTTAGAAAAGTTGTCAATTCGGAAAGGAGGGGGCAGCTGGTCTGTGTCACTAAAGGAGATCCTGTAGGTAGCTCCTCGGAGTGTAATTTCCACGCGCAGGAAGAAGCATTTTCCCAAGGTATCTCTGCAGAAAAAGGAAACAAAAGAGGCTGCATAAAATGGAGAGAACCAGTCACAGTTCACGTTCCGCTCATACTTCCCACAATCACAGGACTGCTTAGACACCAACCAATGCTGCTGTGTGTTCTTTGATCACATTAAAAAGGTAGGAATTGACAGTATAATCACACAATGAAAAAGAATTTATTCAAGCAATGTTTGAATAGTATGTTGTAACTGGGCAGCAAGATCTACAAATTTTACTTAGTGGGTTTGTTTGGGATAATGGTGTCAGTGTAGCAAATGAGTAAATGCTGGTTGAATAGAATTGTTGATACTAGAGTACTTTTGACATGGACACAGAGCAATTTCATATGGTTCAAACTAATATACTGATGTTACTGATCACCAGGGTTCTCACTATAGGACAAAGGCAGGTGAGGAAGAATCCTCTGTAATGGAGGTACCAGTATGTGATCATAATTTTTATATATTTTTATGTGTGCACGTATGTGTGCATATTTAAATAAAGACATATCACTGTAGAGAATGAAAAACTGTTCTTTACAGAAGACTATCAGTTAATAAATGTCGAAGAAATGAGAGAATCAGAAAATCACCATTTTGCAACCACCAATGTAATAATTGATTCAGATAAGAACCATGGAACCATTGAGTGAAAGGATTTTAGGAAACAATATACACACAGTCTCAAATTATCCCCAGATGGATTTTTTTGTTTACAAAGAAGAAAAGGTAACTCTGTAAGAAAAACCTGTTAGACACCAGCTTAACCTCACGATGATCCAATTTAGCAACATCAGTAATGGGACAACAGCTGTCACAGCCCAGGCCTCCAGATGTGACGCAACAGGAAACATACAATACCACATATGTAGTATTCTTACCAAAAAGGTTTTACCCAAATCTATATTAGGAAACTATCAGGAAAATCCAGGAAATAGGACATTCTACAAGAAACTGGCTTGAACTCTTTAAAAATGTCAATGTCAATAAAGACAAAAAAGGAAAAGTGATCATTTAGATTAAAGGAGATGAGCTAAATGGGTCAAATAAAATGCATGATCCTTGACTGAATCCTAGACCAGGAGGAAGGGGCTACTATGAAGGACATTTTAAAGAACTATTTATTAGAAAACAAATCAATATTAAATTTATTCAGTGTGTAATATTAGTATATGTATTTAGAAAAACGTCCTTGTCTTTAGGTGATGAGTGAAGTTTTTACGGCTGAATTACCATGATGATTTCAATTTACTTTCAAATGGTTCAGAAAAAAAATGTATGTATGTGTATGGAGAGAGATCAAGAACACAGCAAAACGATGAAATGTAATAAATCCAGGAAAAAGATGTACAACTCGTAAGTTCTCTGTAGGTTGAAGCTGTTTCCAAATGACATGGTGGGGAAAGTGGGGAAAACAGATGGCATTTGTCTATGCTCAGTACTTCAGGACGTCATTTCAAAAGGGTTAACAAAGGTAGAGTCATTTCCGCCCCACACCTGGTACTTACTTTCCTTCTTTTTCTTTTTTTAAACGTAATCAGGAGTAGCTGTTTTATATAATCTCAAATTGGCTTCCCCTTCTAACACAACAGATCTGGACAGCCTCCTCCTCAGAGGTATATACACCAACAGTGGCTTTAGCTGCAGAACTTCTCCTTTTCCCCCACCCCTCTGCAGACCCCAGTGAAATCTTGTGAGAAACACATGATACTGACAAAGAGTTCTGATTGAAGAAGGGATGAGGGCACTGAAGACCTGACCATTTGGCTCCCTGGGCCTCTAAAGTCACCAGCTTAGACCCCCAACTACTCTTAGGAACAGAGCCTGAAAACCACTACACCAGATGTAATTAATTTTACTAAGGGCTATTGACAAAATGAAGGAAAATAGAGCTCTCTCTCTCTCTCTCTCTCCCTCTCTCGCTGTCTCTCTCTTTCTCACCTGTGCCTTTCCTCTCTAGCTCATGCGCCCCCCTCCCCCATCTCTCTGGAGCACTCCAGCACCTTTCCCCCTCTCTCCCTCTCCTAAGCTCCAAGGGCCCCTTCTTTTGCCCCTGTAACTTATTCCCCGAGCCCACACAGCCCAGCTGGCTCACTTTTTCTAACTCTGTGGCTTTCTAAATAAACTTTCACTTGTATTAGTGGGGGAGAGAGGGAATGAAAGAAAATAAAACCTCAGATAATGCATTTTTTAAAAGTCAACTATAGGTACTGCTGTATATCATCTATTATTTTTCTGTTCCCTTACAATGGTGTTCTCAATGAAGAACTAGCCGTAACTATGAAAGATTAAATTTTGCTTCTAAATGTGTTGAAATAGCACTGATTTCAGTGTCTTCAGCTTCAAAAGCATTTGATAAAAGAAACTGAGGAGGACACAAACAAATGGAAAGGCATCCATGGTCGTGGATCGAAAGACTTAATATTGTTAAAAGATCAATGCTACCCAAAGTGGATTTACATATTTAATGCCATCCCTATCAAAATCCCAAGTTTCCCCCCCACAAAAAAACAAAAAATTTCATCCTAAAATTTAGATGGAATCCCAAGGGACTCCAAATAGCCAAAATAATCTTGAAAAAGAACAAAGTTGGAGGTCTCACACTTCCTGATTTCAAAACTTATTATAAAGCTACTAATCAAAACAGTGTGATACTGGCATAAAGACAGACATATGGACAGAAGAGACAGAAAGCCTTGAAATAAATCCTCACATACAGAGTCAAATAATTTTTGACAATGGTGCCAAGACCATCCCATGGAGAAGGGAGAATCTTTTCAACAAATTTTGAGATAATTGGATAGCCAGAAACAAAAAAGTAGTGTTGAAATTTTACCTTATACCATCTATATATATAAAGGCTATGGAAAGTGTCCCCTCAGAAGTTCGACTGGGAGACTGGGAGTTCAATCACTCACTATGACCACCAGGGGGCGGCGCGGAACGAAGGAAGGCCCCAGCTGGCAGCCAGAAGGCCCCGATCAGCCCTGATTGCCGGCCAGGCCTAGGGACCCTACCTGTGCACGAATTTCATGCACCAGGCCTCTGGTATACACATATCAACTCAAAATGGATCAAAGACCTAAATATAAGGGCTAAAACTATAGAACACTCAGAAGAAAACACAGGGTAAAGCTTCATGACATTGGATTTGGCAATGATTTCTTGGCTATAACACCAAAAGCAGAGATAATAAAAGTTAAAGTAGATAATTTGGACTACATCAAAATTAAAAACTTCTATACAAAACACAATCAACCGAGTAAAAAATGGGCGAAAATATATGCAAATCATATATCTCAAAAGGGGGTTAATATCCAGAATATACAAAAGATTTCTGTAACTCAACAACAAAAAAACAAACAACCCAATTCAAAAATAGGCAGTACAAATGGCCAGCAAGCACATGAAAAGAAGCTTAATATCACTAATCATTAGGGAAATGTGAATCAAAACCACAATGAGATGTGACCTCACCCATCAGGTTGACTACTATCAAAAAAGCAGAAAATAAAAAGTGCTAGCGAAGATGTGGAGAAATTGGCTGTGCATAGTTGGCTGAAATGTAAAATGGTGGAGCTGCTATAGAAAACAGTATGGCAATTCCTCAAAGAAATAAAATTGGAATGACCACATAAAACAATAATTCTACTCTGAGTATGGACCCAAAAGAATCAAAAGCAGGGACTCAAAGAGATATTTATACACCCATGTTCAGAGCAGCACTATTCACAACAGCCAAAAGATAGAATGCACCCCAAGTTTCCCTCAACAAATCAATGGATAAGCAAAATGTGCTATATTCATACAATGGAATATTATTCAGCTTAAAGGAAGGAAATTCTGACACATGTGATAATGCAGATGAACCTTGAGAACATTATGCTAAGGGAAATAAGCCAGTCACAAAAAGACAAATACTGTATGCTTCCACTTATCTGAGATACCTAGGGTAGTCAAATTCAGAAAAAGCTGAGCAGGGGCTGGAGAAGGGGGAAATGAGGAGTTGTTGTTTGATGGGTATAGAGTTTCAGTTTTGCAAGATAAAAAGAGTTTGGAGATCGGTGGCACAACTATATGAATGTACTTCACACTAGTGAACTTAAAAATGATTAAAGTGGTAAATTTTATGTACCTGAAGCCCACAAAACAATCTCTGGGCCTTTGTGTTATCTTTCTCACATGGTATGTGTATCTTACCACTATTTTTTTTAAAAACTTCGAATACTTTTTAAAAAAGCATTTGATGAAAGCAGAAGGAAGAGTCATCCTGGGCTTGTTGAGGCTAAATTTGGTTGATTTTTCTTAACAAGGACCTGAATGTCACTGGGTTTGGCAAAGAAGGGCAGATAATTACTGAAACAGCATCAAATGAAAGAAGATTTGGTAAAAGCATTTATAATCAGTGTTAATGTCGAAATGCAGAGTTTTCAGACGTGCTACCCCTTCAACTTGACACCTAAGACCACACCAGTTGCACCATGGTCAAAACTGCTGACATTCCCTTTAACTCACCCCAACAAAAAGTTCACTCATACATACCTGGTCTTTGCAAGTTTTAAGAACTTTGTCTGAGCCAGAAACATGTGCGTCCATTTCATGAAGAGTAGTATTACTACTTACTATTTATAGCTTTATAAATATTTAAAATTTATATGGTATTTATAGCTTACTATTTAATGCACCTCAAACAAAGCTACTTTTTGTCTAAATGTAGTCTCTGAACTTACCTCATGTTGATGTGGAAAGAATTATTCTTGTTGACCTCAAAGCCTCCAGACCAAATACAATTGGGAACATCCATTAATCTGACACACAACAGCTGATCATAGTCATTCCGAGGCCAATGGAACACCACACTGGAACCAGGAAGGGTAGAAATGTAACCGTCGGGATTGGCTGTTCCCTAAAACACACAGAATCACTGGCTTTGGTCAACAAGTCAATTCAAGACAGTAAATGTTTACTAAGTACCTTCTCTGAGCCTGGTCCTCTACCAGAAGCTATTTAGGGTGCCAAAGGCAGGAAATGGTTACATCACAGAACTTACAGCGTTGAAGGGGAGATAAGCCATGACATTAAAACTCCCTGTGCTATTAAACACTAGTAATTCTTCAAAAGTAAACTGCTTACCTGTCCCCTGGCAAATTCCCTCTGTGCGAATGCAAGCTTGTGAGATGATTTATTATCTAACAGGTAACGGGGGGCAAAGATGACCATACAGGTGTCAATATATCGACCTCGGCCTTTCTTGACATCAATACCTACAAATAACAAAAACCACTGCCATGAATTAATCAGAAAAAAAGATAATCCATGGTCTGACAAAAATAAATAGCCTTCACAATTACTTTGTTTCTCTAAGAAAACAATTATATCACTCAAAGAGGCTGTCAAGCCTTCCAAGAATGGAATGAAAACAGCAAGCACACTCGAAGTATTATTCTTTTACCCACTTAGGCCTTAAAAAGTCTCAGTGGCAGTATCGATATCCCCATAACTCCTAGCTTCTTCATAAAGTGTGTATCATAACAACAGCAACTAAAAAACACAGGTGTTCAGTCATAGATACCTTTGGTTTCCATTTATGAAGCTGACTACATTTCTGCTCACATCTGGGACACAAAATTCCCACTAGAGAATTTGCCCCTTTTACAGGATACAGTAGAAATTTCAGATTACTTCATTGGATTCTGACTACCCTGAACTCAAAGGACTTTTCTCTAGTATTTTCTTTTAGCTGTTGGCCCAAGAATCCAGCTAAAACCGAATGTAAAATATTATAGAATTCATTCATTCATAAAATACATGTTTTCAGCACCCACTATGTACAGGGAGAAAAAGGCAAACAAAACACATAGCATGAAAAGACAGTCATAATCAAACAGAAGGAAATCTCAAAACACTCGAAGAAAGGAAAAAAATAAACAGCACTGAATTAGCTTTAAAAATATGATTGTTTTTTAAAATATGAAACTCAGTGGGAATGACTATTTGTTCATTCACACAATAAATATAGCAACTGGGCTGGACTCTGTTTATACAATGATAGAAATATTTATAGTACAGATAATGAATATAATAATATTAATTGACCTCTTAATACAAGTTACACCCTCTACCAAAGGCTCCACATTTAGTTCTCATAACAACCTTATGAGTTAGGTATTTTCATTCTTTCCATTTTACAGATGAGGAAACTAAGGCATAGAAAGAAGGTAACTTGCCCTAGGTCACACAGCCGCCTGCCTCAGAAGCCCTTGCTCACATCACGATGAGACATGTAAAAGGACCCTACTCAGCAGTCAACTAGAGAACCATAAAAAGGAAAGAGACCTTAGGATACAACAACTAGGTGTCCTGGATGGCCTAACATAACCGCAATTATCAATATTCCAATCTGTTAACTCTGTAATTCATCTGTGCTGGCTTGAAAATTTGGGTGTGCCTTCAATATAAGTCTTCAATATAAAAGACTGAGCAAATCTCAAAAACAACCATCTCCGAAACCGTATTTAAGAAATGTTCGGGAATACTGGAACAGACAGATATTCCCTATCACTCATATTTCTGTAACACACACACAAAAGCATTAATTGTCAGAAACTGACATTATCATAGCTAGCTGATCTCAACTAATATAAAGTCTGCCCACAAAAAATGTGTTTACTTTGACATTATGAAAAAAATCTACAGTACCGAGACTCAATTTTTGGAGAAAAAAAAAGTAGGCTTTTTTTGTTTCCCTTTTCATCTTAGATTGCTCTGGCAACCCCCCAGTAAATGAATAGCTGATAAGATAAAAATGTACAAAATCCCTCTTTTTGGAGGTACATGTGAGGCCTCCCTGAGCTTTGGACTGTGTTTTAAACTTTCCTGATAGGGAGCTAGTTATCTATCGAACTCTCCAAAAATATTCAAGTAAGAGATTCCACAAATTCCCTTGATATTATATGCCAAGATTTCATGAACCTTAAGAATTATAAAGTCCTATCTTAGCCCACTCCATCTATTGTTTTCTTTGGTGTAAAAACAAAATTCAAATCATAGTCTTGTCCCTAAAAACATATGTAATAAGTTTTAATGAATGCTCCCAGCACAGCAACTTTCAAATTATGTGCCACAAGAATTTTTAAAACATGCAATACCTGACTATTTAGTCAGGTGCACAGACCTCTTTTCCCTTAGATCGTCAAATAAAAAACTGACAACTCAACACAACAGCGTCCAGTGTGAATGCCCTGTCTTGAACCATAAATATGTAGGTCACATAATAGAGTTGTAACTTACCGGTCACATCGCATAATAAGGTTTTGTCTCATTGGTTAATTCTTGGCACCAGGAATCTTTATATACAAGTATAGGCACCTGATTTTTTTTTTTAAGTCACTTTGGAGTAAAAAGGGTGGGCAATTACTTTTTCTTTTTCTTCTTTTTTGTAAATCAATCAAAACTATATCTTTGTTTTTTACTGGCAAAAAATATATTCTTTGGTGTGCGACAGAATTTTAGTAATTAGTTTGTGTGCCAAGCGATGAAGGAGGTTGAAAATCGCTGTCCTAGCATGTAAGTTTACACATGCACTCAAATGCATAGTTGTGATTGGCCAGCTCGATTTGCCTCCCTGAAAGAATTCTGTGATTCCTTAGCGCCAGCTGCTAAGAGCTCCATCACCCCACCCCGCAATTTGTTCCAACTACAGTTTCTAGCCAACCTGCAGTAGCTTACTTTGGAAAGTGTATCAAGGACAAGATACCCCAAAAGAAAACCAAACACAGCATGAAACAGCCTTTGCCCGTTCAAGGGGCGGAGCAAACAATGTGAACAAAAGTAAAGAAAATGATCCTCAGCTGGAGGGTCAAATTAAAGTTTATTTCTTCTGTTAAAAATCTTAATGTCAACTTTAAAGGAGGCAGTCCCAGGACAAGGGAGAATGCTCACAAATTCAGGTTTAAACAACACGGAAAGCAAACTCTACTTGGAGGAGACTCTATTACTAATAAAACCTCAAACACGTAAGTCCTTGAGTCTGCGTGGGCCCCAGGGCAAATCGCTCGAGGACACCACCTTAGGCTCTCCTTCTACAACATGACTATTTCTGCCCTGTCCGATATGCAGCCACTAGGCATATGTGGCTATTTAAATCCATTAACACTCAATAAAATGAAAAGCTCAATTCCTTGGTCACACTGGCCACGTTTCTTAGTAGCTACTCCCAAGTGCTCGGCAGCCACGCGTGGCTAGTGTTACCCCACTGGACAATGCAAAACAGAACATTTCCCTCCTCGCAGAGAGCTCAACGGACAGCACAGCCCGAGATGGTTTTCCAACGTTTGACAATGAATGGTGCTTGGATCCTTGGAAATTATACACTAGGAAGGACGCACAGCTAACATTTTAAACCTGAAGCATTACTTAAATAATCAAATTTATCGTAACTCTGCAGAAAACCTGTTGAGAATTCCAGGTGGCTCTGAGGTTTATAGGTGCAGTATGCTCCTCTCACCACCCCCCACCTCTATAAGCAAAGCCCGTTCAGTGGGCTTCTAATTACTATAACCACCAAGTGCATTTTATTACATTTTCTGCTTCAAATGTGCACACTGCAATCATAATCCCACTTCTGACCCAGACTTCCCCTTTGCATCTGGGCAAGTCACTTAACCTCTCTGCTTCAGTTTCAAGGAGAACAATGCTTCTTACCCTCTTAGGGTTTGCAAGTTTTAATGAATGCGTGGGAAATGCCTGGAGGATGAAAAAAGCATTCTAAGTGTTCCTATTATCCCCATGAAAAACAAGGATTTAAGCCAAACTGATACTTTAAGTTAAACAGAGCCGCAGACCTCAAAAGGGGCAGTGTTTAGGTAGCTCCTTAGATCCCTAGAATAGATCTGTGCTGACAGCCATCAAGCATTCCGAGGAAAGATACCTCACCCAATGCCAAATGAGAAAGTCAGCACCTGCGGCCAAGCCTAAAATGTATGGTCAGCTTACGGTCCCAGCCTGAGCTCAGGGCCAAGGGTCTGATTCCCCCGCTGCCCCCCGGGTAACCCACCAATGTTATAGATCAGCCCTGGGCGGTTTCCGTGCTGGATGACTTTCAGAGCTCGGACACCACTCCCACCATCCAGGGAGAAGCCCTGACACCAGCCCGGCATGCCTTCAGGATGAATCCCCCTTCCGATTCTCATCGTGCAGCTGTGGGGCAGAAAAGCAAAGGTTGATACATTCATCCATAAGCAAGTCTTGTCCACCTGTTCTAATCAGGAAACAGTGCTGTAGCTAACACCCCAAATTACAACTCTAATGTTGACTCTTCCTCACTCATGTGATTCCCAAACACAGCGAGGCAACTGCTGGCAGTTAACCCCCTATCTTACAGGCAGCCACAGTACAACAATGTGCAAAATGTATGGACGTCTTCAACTGAACACTTTAAGAAAAAACATTAAGATTCTACAAGCATAAGACATACAGAAAATGCTAAAATATCTATTACTCCTCTGAAAAATAAGGATTTGAGTCAAACTAATACTTTCCTGACTGAGGTGTTCAAAGGTTCATGAAATAGCCTGAACATATAAGGAAAGTGTGCCCAAAATTCTTTAGATGCAAGGCAAGCATGTGCAGACGATGTGGCTAAAGGTACGTTCCCTCCATGGTCTGGTACTATTACAACAGCAAAGCTCTGTTTAGTTGGCCAATATCTTATCGTGGGCCTTAGAACCATCATTCCTGAATGTGTGTTCCAGTTCTGCCACTAACAAGCAACATAACCTTGGGCAGGTAACTGTCTCTCTCCGAGCCTCAGTTTCCACATCTTAAAATAAAACAGTATTTCCTGCCCTGCCCAATCCACTGGGATGCTGGGAGAATCAAATGAGATGGTCTATATGGAAATGCTTGGGGAACTACAAATTCCCTGGATAAAATAAACTGTTATAAATGTCAGGAAGAGTGAGACTGGGCTAGCGTCTGTATGACCACCATGTCCAGACCCCAGTCAATCCTCTCCTGACTGCAGCAACAACCTAGCCTCCAGCCCTCCCTGGAAGACTCATCTGCACCCACTGGCATGTGGTGCTCCCTAAACCTTCCTCTTAAGCTTGTAGGAAGCATACTTCTGCAGATACCAGGGTGTGGCATTTTAGGAGTATCAAACATGCCATTTGGATTATTGCTACAAATTAAGACTCCTGTAAAAGGCAGAATGTTAAAACCAAGAACAAAAGTGAATTAATGCTCATACCATACATTAGAAGGACATGTCATCTAATCCTCACAATTGCTGCTTCTCCCTGCCTTTAAAAGTGAAAGGAGTGCTTGAGATCTTAAATGGCACCTTACACAAAATGACCTGGCTTGGATTAATGGGGCAGAGGCTTTACCAGAGGTCCAGTCACCCCCACACACACCCCCACGCCAACTCCTCTGCCTGTGCTGAGCTGACAGCAGAAGGGAGCCATGCAGAGCACAGAACATGTGGGTTTCTCTTCATTGGCAGAGTTATGAATAGAACTACTCCAACACACGTAAAATAAAACTAGCTTTCATTATAAACCAACCAAATGGTTTATTTTCACTATCAAGTAACACAGAAATTAGAGCCGAAAGAATCCCATTAGGTCATGGTCCTGCTCCCCTGCCAAGTCAGGATTGTTATCTACAGTACAATTCTACTTACACGGATACACTCTAGCCTTTGCTAATTTTTCCCCTTCCCTAGGAACTTATTTCCCCTTCCCATAAATAACTGTACTCACAGGTTCGGCTGCTCTTTGTCAGCATAGCAGAATAGGAGGGGGCTCAGGCTCCGGGCCAGCTCATGCTCCTCGAACTGGCCTGCAGCATCTGTCTTTGTGTTGTCCTGTCTGAAGATCAGCGGTAACCCTTTAGGAAGGAGAGGAGAGGTATACATCAATCCCACCCAGTCTCTCCAAGACAGACGTAAACGGTAAAGTTAATTTTTTTTTTAAACAATCAAGGGGAAAGAGTGAAAATTGAATTAATTTAGTGGGCTCATTTTGTTGTCTAAGAGGACATTTCTGACCATGACTGAGCACTAATTATGGAAGCAGGAAAGTTCCAGCAGCCCAGACTGTTGGCGTTAGTCTATTGGCTCCATTTAGTCAGCTGAGCAAAAACCTGAATTCCCATGGCCAAAGCCAAAGGCCCACTTGAGCAGCCTCTATACCAGTGATGGCGAACCTTTTGAGCTCGGCATGTCAGCATTTTGAAAAACCCTAACTTAACTCTGGTGCCGTGTCACATATAGAAATTTTTTGATATTTGCAACCATAGTGAAACAAAGACTTATATTTTTGATATTTATTTTATATATTTAAATGCCATTTAACAAAGAAAAATCAACCAAAAAAATGAGTTCGCGTGTCACCTCTGACACGCGTGTCATAGGTTCGCCATCACTGCTCTATACATACCTGTTTTGTTAATCAACCAATACGGAGCAGAAATGAAGATCTTTAGGGATCCTTCTGCTCGACACACAATCCGGATGGTGAGGTTCAGCTGCCGCCGGTTGGTATCATAGAGACGCATTCTTACCATATAGTTTTGGGTTCCAGGTGGAATGAGCAATTCTTTACAGAGTGGAAAATTCTCCAGTGATACCCCTAAAGGAGATATAAGCCATTGTCTTTCTACGCTCTCACGTTAGTTTGTTAAAATACCCAGCAGTCAAACGAAATTGGATTCCTTTTGGAAAAATCAGTAACTGTCTCTTACTAGCAAAAAAGATCTCATTAGAACGGCCATTTTCCTCTAGCTCGGGTGAGAATACATATGAAGCAAACAAGATGGCCTGGAAGCCACACTAGGGAGTCTGAACTGCAGAGTTAGAAAGATGAAAATACCAGAAAGTACCAGTAACAGCTATGAGTATTAGGAGCTTACTAGACATCAGACCCTGTGCTGGGTGCCTAGACCACAATAAAGGCAAGGACAGGGTCAGAGTCAAGGTTTCTGCAGCCGAATGCCTGGCCTCAGGTCCCAGCCTGGCCTTCCCAGCCGCATGGTGCAGGGTGAGCGATTTGCCCTTGCTGTGCCTCATCTCCAAACGGGGATAAAGACAGTATCTCCATCGCAGGATTGCTGTGAAAGTGGTGGTCCATGGAGAGCAGACTGGGAAGATAGCGTGGTGGTGTGCACAACAGAGTGGTGGTGGGTGGGAGGACGTGTCCATTCCACCCAGGGACTCATAGACATTTGTTGAAGAAGTACTTAAATGTCAGAGCACAGACCTCTTTTCTTCAGAAGGACACCTAGCACTGTACCACTTTTGTGTTCTAAATGAAGCTCGTTGACATGTAAGTTTATCGCTGTGGGACACAATTTCAATGAGTTTCAGATTCCTATCTGTACTAGGGGGATAGCAGCTGTCTCTCTACCCCAAACGTGCCATTGTGAAGATCAAATGAGAAGATATACAAAACTGTAAAAAGATAAATATCTAAGGCATCATTTTTTCAGCATTTCTAGAGCAGCATTAAAGAAACATACTTCCTGCCCAAACTCCAGCAGCTCCTCTTTGCTGTAAGTGCTACAAATAGGATAATGATTCTAATGATTCTCTACCTCGAGTTCATTCATCCCTAAAACTGAACGTACTTGATGAATTCAACATTCAATTTCTTCATCAGGAATGGGACAAATAAGTACTGCGTAAGGATGACATGAGCTCATGTGTGTGAAGCACTTGACATAATGCATGGAGGACAGTACGTGCTTGGCAAATGTTTTTCCCTCCTGAAAAGAGAGGGAGAGAGCCCTGACTGGTTTGGCTCAGTGGATAGAGCGTTGGCCTGCGGACTGAAAGGTCCCAGGTTCGATTCCGGTCAAGGGCATGTACCTTGGTTGCGGGCACATCCCCAGTGAGGGGTGTGCAGGAGGCAGCTGATCGATGTTTCTCTCTCATTGATGTTTCTAACTCTCTATCCCTCTCCCTTCCTCTCTGTAAAAAAAAATCAATAAAATATATATTTTTTTAAAAAAAGGGAGAGAGAGATGATTTTGCTCCTTTTATAGCTGGGAAAAGCCTGGTCTGAAAAGATGAAGTGATTGCCTACAGTCATACATCAAGTGAGCAACGGAAGAAAAAAGGCTCCGTTGAGTGCTTCCTCTGGAAATCTTTGGAATCTGTTCAATTATTTTCTTTTGATAATTTTCTACCTTAGAAGTTTGACATTTTTTAAACTACATAAATCCTTTGAGCTGGTTTACTGAGATAGTGTATAGGCTATAATTTCTCCAAAATGTTTACCAAACAGTCACAAAATACTCACTGACATTTTCATAGAATTGCTACCAATGATAATTTGACTAAACCCTTACCCAGTTCAATGTTCTGGGCCGTGTCAGCGGTGTGGAGAGCCACCTCTTTGCCAGGTTTCAGGGTCCCATTAATGGGCATTCCTTTAACATAAAAATCCAGTTCGCAAGGGAGCAGGTTGCAGATTACCACAGTTGGCAGGAGATATATGGTATGCCCCGGCTGCCTGAAAATCTGTTTTGCACTATCAGAAAATATGTTTGAGGGCATGTAATCTGGATAATTCTCTTTCTTTATGGCCACACAAAACCTATGAAGACAAAATGGTATAAAAACCACCAATGAAGAACTTGAATTTTCTCTCCTTAGCTGAGTCTGAGAGAGCATAGCATTAAAATGGTTCAATAACCCAGTAAGATACCTACAATTTAAGTCAGAATAAAATGTAGAGATTTTAAATGTTCCGCTTTGTGGGTTTTGATAATTATATACATCCTATAGCTACCACCCAAAACCAGTGATAGGCTATTTCTCTCACTCCAGAACGTTCCCTCATATCCCTTTCCAATCAAAATCCTCTCCCCCATCGGAAGAGCAACAATCTCTGATATTTGTATAGATTAGTTGTGCCTGTTCTTGAACTGCATAAACAGGGAATGACAGCCCATCCAGTGTGGCTCCGTGGTTAAGCATCGACCTATGAACCAGGAGGTCATGGTTCGATTCCTGGTCAGGGCCGTGTCTGAATTGCGGGCTCGATCACCAATGGGATGCATGTAGGAGGCAGCCGATCAATGATTCTCTCTCATCACTGATGTTTGTATCTCTCTCTCTCCCCCTCTTCCTTCCTCTCTGAAATCAATAAAAATATTTTTTTAAAAAAGTGAAAAACTTTAGGGTTTTAAATAAGCACAACTGAATCATTGAGGGTCCTTAGAGAAAGAATAAAGAAAAAATACCCACAAATACACATTGCAGTGTCATGCATACCTGAAGAATCGGTTTTTCTCTGTGTCCATGGAATGGCACTCTCGTTTGCTGCTACTAACCTCTGCCGTCTTTACTACATTCGTCCAGTGGATAGGAGCCTTACAGAAAAATACGCCCAACCCTTTGGGCCGGGCCTGCAGCCGCCAAGAAGTGAGGTGTAAAGGCACAGCAAAGGAGTCCCCCGGCATGACAGCGGGAAGCACCACGGGCTCTGCCACAGAAATAAGCGTTAGCGCTCTCAGGGGGGGGGTCTTCTCCCCAAAGCTGACTTTCTCAGAGTAAAAGGAGGACGGACTATGTCAAAGCTTACTGTCTGGAGCTGATGGGCTGTCCAGTCTTAGTTCCATTGGTGTCTCGAGTCTGTTCTTCACAATGAGGGCAGACCGGACAGTGATCACTTTGCGAGCACTGCCTTCCATGGTCACGGCAAAGACCACCCGGACAGGCGGGAGTGCTGAGAACTGTGAAAAAGACATTGAAGTAAAAGGCACAGCTGTGATTTTGAAAATACACACAAAAATACAACCATACCAACCAGAATGCCTAAATCACAGCATCTTATTATTGCGATAGCTCTTTGGTAAAATTAATCATTAAGCCCCAAGACCACTCAGTTTTAATAGGAATGAATAGCCTATAAACATGCACTCTTAAAAGAGCCAATTCTAAACATTCCTATAAAAAGAGTTAATATCTTCAGCCCAGCCAGTGTGGCTCAGTGGTTAAGGGTTGACCTATGAACCAGGATGTCACAGCTTGATTCCCGTTCAGGACACATGCCTGGGTTCTGGGCTTCATTCCCGGGTTCCGGGCTTCATTCCCAGTGTGGGGCGTGCAGGAGGCAGCCGATCAATGATTCTCTATCATCATTGATGTTTCTATCTCTCATCCCCTCTCCCTTCCTCTCTGAAATCAATAAAAATATATTTTAAAAAAACAGTTAATCTATTCAGAAGTGACATCACAAAGTGTGTCACAAAGAACAATCCACCGTAGGCCTCTGGACACATTATAAAGAACTTCACCTAAGACCGGTAACAGCCCATCAAATTTCCCACACTTGTGCTGGAAGTTAACCTCGCGCAGTGTCGCAAACCAGCCCTTACATGGAAACGGACCAAGACTCGCTGTCAGCTCTGCCAGAGGGGACTAAAGATCATGCACAGCAACGCAATGTTCAGAAGCAATGAGGTAGGACTTCACTTCGTAAAACATTAAGTGATTTACCTTCTGCGGTATTTTCCTCCCAGATTAATATTAAAGTGAGAAAACATTCTTTGAACACTAACAATGGGTTGGGAACTGTCCAAAATATACAAAAGCAAAAGGAAGTCTTCTGAGATTATAACTTGTCTTTGTAAAAGCCAGAGAGTGTATAATAAAGAGTTGTCTACATTGGAATGCCTTTCCCAAGAACAATAACTTTTTTCCTAATGTCATAAAAATTACTCTCTAGGCCCATACACCATTTGCTGACATGCCTATAGAAAAAAAGCCAACATTTGTATTTCAAAGAACTTCAAAAACCAACTTCTCTTTCTTCACAATAACTTTCTAAGTTCCATTCAATGATCACTCTTTCACAAACAGGACACTGAGTTTCAGAAACTCAACATAATGGAGGGAAATAATTTATGTTTGGTCTTGGGTTGCAGCCACTACTTTCTTTTTCCATACATTCATTCACACATTCAGCACAGTTTGTGCCCCAAAACTCTTTTTTCTTTTTTAGTTTAAAACCCCACATCAGGTAAACCGAAGAGGAGGTCTCTGAAGCTATTATTCTCAGCAGGAGTGTCCAGAACATACTGACAATGCTTTTTTATTGGAGAAACAAATGACACCACGTCCAAGCTTCCCATACTGCCAACTTTTTTATTAAAAACAAACAGTATGTGAAACCAACCTAATAAACAATAAAATGAAGAGCTCCATGTTTTGAGCCAAGACTTCCAGGAAGCCCAGTGAAAAGGCAAACTAGAACTGTCTGGAGTGTTTTCAGAGACAATCCCAGGCACAGTCAGCACCTCGGTGTCCACAGACCCAGCCTAGTAAAGCCCCACTCAGCCAAGGCCAATTACAATTGTTTCAAATCTCGATCTTAACGCCTCCAAGCTTAGCTGAAATTTCACAGTTCAAAACTTACTATCCCTAAAGGAGAAGAAAATTTAAGCAAAAATCTAAAAATAGTTTTTTAGTGTCATCTTATGATGATGTTTCAAAAGCCAAATGGGAAGAAAAAAAAAATCTTACTATTTTTCATTCTTAATTACCTTCACGACCTATGGATCCCAAATCTATGAAATATGTATAGCCATACAAGGGTTAATTTATATTTTAACTTAGAAAGAAAAGGAGACATTGGCCCCAAACATTTGTTTTTTTTCTTTCTGTTGCCTGTAATATTCAGTCTCACATATCAAATTAGGTGAAAATATTTTCTTGCAAGTTTTTAGAAAATGAGGTAATCATCAATAGAAAAGCAGAAAGATAAATCCCAATCGCTCACAGGTCATAAAGTCCTCTCATCATTAAGAAATAAACATCTAGCCCTAACCGGTTTGGCTCAGTGGATAGAGCATCGGCCTGCGGACTCAAGGGTCCCAGGTTCGATTCCGGTCAAGGGCATGTACCTTGGTTGCGGGCACATCCCCAGTGGGGAGTGTGCAGGAGGCAGCTGATCGATGTTTCTCTCTCATCGATGTTTCTAACTCTCTATCCCTCTCCCTTCCTCTCTGTAAAAAATCAATAAAGTATATTTTAAAAAAAAAGAAATAAACATCTACGTATGGTTCAGGCCCAGTGTCAACACTGAATACACACAGTGACATAGGACAATCATACTCACATAAACCTGGGGATGGATAATATTTGTTCTGCTGCTTGGGCTGCCAATCTAAGAAAGATTCCAAAAGTCAGAGAGTCAGCGCAGACCTAAGATTACAGGCATCATTAAGTTCAATGACAATGAAATGTGCTTGGAAGGGTGGTGTTTGCAAATACCCTTAGCAAAGTATGGTCTACCGCTAAGAGAAAGCATCTTAACTTAGAAGGTATGGGGAAAACAACCCTCATTTTACCACCACTCCAGGGACACAAATTTCCAGAACACATCCATACAATAGAAAAGTATCTCTTGGGGGAATTCATTATTTCATTATCAGATAAGAATTTAGGCAGAAAATTAATCTTGAAAGAAAGTGTCCTTTCCTAAGAAACTTGGGGCACAAGAGAGGAAGAGTAGAAGGAACAGAGTTTCTCTATGAAGAAAGCATGACGAAAGCCACAATCTCTGCAAATCTGCACTTTCCCCCTCATCACTGGTTACCTAACAAGTGAGTCATCCTGGGAAGCATGTCCGAGTCCTGGGCAAAAGCACCATGGCGGACACATGGGCTGGGAGGCCGGCCCTCACCTGCACACTCTAGTGAGGGATGCTCCCTGCATCATCCCCAGGCTGGTCCCTCCTAGCCCTAGAGCTGCAGGCTGGGTCAAGTTCAGGCAAGGATGTGTGAGAGGTTCTGTGATCAGACAAATAGCAGTGGCTATATGTCTTTATGCTAGAGAAGAGAAGTTGGAGAAAAGGAACTAGAAGGATCAAGGAGTAGCACTGTAAGAAATTGAAAGAAGACAGTATATGGAGGAAGCATAACAGTATGTGAAGTAAAGCCAACACATGTTCGGCAGACTAGCAAATTGCCAGGTGGGCCAGCTGCATATGAAATGCGTCTGCACAGGTGAGGTAACATGTACTAAAGTCACTTTTATTTACTTATTATTTTTCATTAAAATCACTTTTAGATCCTGTTTTTTTTTACTGAAATTATCCATTGGCTGGCTCATCTAAATATTGATTATCACTGCCTATGATGACTTCTATAATCTTACATATTCCTAGAGCTCGTGTACTAATAAATGAAGAACAAGAAAACTTTACTAGAGCAAAGCTATTACACTGTGTGAGTGCCTGGCTTTACGGGAGTGCGGCCAGGACACAATGCACACCCATCCCCTGCCACACACCGTAGAGGAAGATGAATTCTTATCTGGCGCTGCGTATCGGAAAAAGGTCCCAACTTTGTCCACAGACACAGGGCTCACTTGCTCCCAACCATTTACTCTCACTTGCAGTTGGTGAATCCGGAGGTCATGGGTGTGTCTGTCAGGCAGAATACGGAAAAAGACATTAAGCCCAATCTTCAAAAGCAAAGAAAAGCAGGAGCAAAGACTCAAATCCGATTTACTATCTAATGACATAAAAACCCAGTTGTCCGAGCCTTTTGATGATTGCCTAATGCAAGAGAAATCAAGAGAACATATTGGCTGGGTTTTACATTTAAAACTGCAAGATTTATAATGCTTGGGCAAGAGTAGCATTTGTCCTCCCTTTGTATGAACCACGCAAACTCTCCACTCTAGCCCAGGCCTTGCCCCACCAACCCCACCCAAGCTTTTACAAGACAGTGCCATTCGCTACAACCACTTCTGTGGGGCAGTAAAAATGTTCCGCTAGCAATCTGATCATATAACCAAACTCTTGGAAATGCGTGACACAACATTTCCTCCTGGTTCTTTTGCTGAATACCCTACTTCTCTTAGACCCACACTCAGTTGTTTGGCTTCGGTCCTACAGGCCACAGACAGGTTAGGCATTTTAAGGCATAAGGCTTGGCTGAAACAGCAGAAGGCAGTGGGCAGAACAGGAGGAACAGGAGGAAATTGCACATTTAATTCTATTTTGGGTTTCGCCTAATTCAAGCCAGAAGCCTAAAATGGGGAACTGGATTTGAGGCTGACAGGAAGGAGGGAGGGAGGCAGGGAGTGGGCATAGTGTGCCAAAGGGGGGAAAGCCAGAAAAGGCATTTATGTTGATGAATTCAAGCAGAACAGTGGGACTTGAAATGCGCCGTTACAAAACATGGAAACTAAAACGGAAGTGATATAGAGGTCAAACCCCTTCTGATATAACAGAGGCCGTGCTTATTAAGACATACAGCCAACAGTTCATAATTAGCCCCTTCAGGAACTTTGTGGAACAGAAAATGCTCACCACTCATCCCTGGAAGTGCTAACGTGGCTTTCAGGTACACGTACCCAGCTTAGTGATTTTTTTTAAAACCCTATTTTTCCTGTACAATCACTGGGGCCCACAGGTTCAGACATCTGCCCCAGGGAGAAATGTGTGCTGGCAGAAAGCTGTGCAAAGGGAAGAGGTATCTGACTTAGGAGCGGGTTTGCACACAAAGACTTAGAGCATCATGAAAGCATAAGGCGGAAGCCAGTCTCCCACACTTCAGCTCAGCTTGCAAACAGATATGAGGCTGAAATCTTAACCTATTCACCGGACAGCCTTTCCACTTAACAATGTCTGCAAACACAAGAACACTTTGTTAGATATTTTGTGACCGCTCAGTAACAAGCCACAGGCTTCTCTCGCGTTCGTTCCAGTCCTCTGGTGGACCATGTCAAGAGTGAGTGCTAGCCGTCTCCCTGGACGAGTGGTTCTGATCCTCCTCAGCATCCGTGTGCCTCCTCATACGGCTCTGCTCCCTGAAAACACCTGCCTGCCCCAAGTGCTATGTGACACGTATGTGTCTTAACACTGAAATCGACATGCTTTGCCAACCTTTCAGGAGTACCATGTCACCAGTGCATCATGAAAACCAGGCTGGGAGGCAATGAACTTGAGTGTCATGCTCTGTCTATGCTTCAACCAAATTATGTGAAACACACATGTCAAGTAAAGAGATAATTAATGGGGGGAAACTTTATTTCCAAGATAGTAAGAAAGTCATTATATTTTTTTTTAAAGGAAAGGAAACACTGATTTTTTAAAATATCCTTTAAAAATAAATCATTAAAATCTCTAATAAAGGAAGGTGAATAGGCGAAACACTAGGGACAATCACATCATATACATAAATATTTTTTTAGGAAAAGAATGAGTCATACTTTACCTGTGTCTTAGCTTTCCACGTGCTTCAAATTCAAAGGGAATCTCTTCACCTGTGAGGACTTCCCGCCACTCACTGACATTGTGAGTGTCATCGAGAAATGTCCCGTCCCCTTCTGGAACGCCCCCTGGACTCCCGCTGTGAGACAGTGCAGCCCTGGAACCAAATCAGACAATACCAGCCTGTGCCTCTCTCCCAGCTCCTTCTCACACGGAGCTGGTGCTGGGAACAGAAACCCTCCCAGAACGCAATTCACAGCAATGAGGCCGTATAATCTGGCTCCAAAGGGTGACCTACAAGGTCAGTAACTAGAGGCATCTTCATGATCAAACGCAGCTCATGTGACACTTTAGAAACAGCTGAAAGCTATACTACACACTCACCTGCCTCGGCAGTAGAGCTGCTACATACGTGCTATGTAAAGTGAGTCATGACTTTTAAAAGTCGTGTTTAAGTGACTACCAAGAACTTAACAGGCCTGAACTGTTTTTAAAAAACACCGCCTCCTGTAAGGCATTATCATACTTCGTGGAGGCAGGGAAATGTGGTTTCCAACCAGCTGATGCTGTTACTTGTTTCGTGTTCTCATTTCCTAAGCTGGAGAGATCAGCGTGGATTCGGCAAGTCCAGCCAAGGTCTGAACAGGCTGAAAGCTGCTGAAGAACCTTCTCACTTGGCTTAGGTAAATTCTCACTTGTTCTCCAAACCCCACCCAATTCCATCTGGATTGAAGTGTGCTTTAGGTTGGAAAGCAATTCTTGGGGGGGCGGGGGGATGAAGAGGAAAGATGGAATGACTTTTCTTTCACGCTTCCCACTCTCAGCCTTAACTTGCTGGACTCTGACTTTAAACGTAATGTCTACTGGGATCAGGATCATTTGGACATTTCAAACTTGGGGCCTACTTCTCTGACTACAGATTCCACAGAGGACCAGAACCTCCACCATAAACCTCAGCAGGACAGCACGTGATTGCTTCAAATACAACCTCAGAGCCTCAAGAAGGGGCCCACTGGGCTGGCACGCAGGAGCCTTGGGTGGCAGAGATGGCTCAGTGACAGATCAAGTGCTTCTTACCTGGTGGGTGTGGTGGTCAGGGTGGCGAACCACAAAGTGCAGCCTGTGTGATTCCTCAGAGCGAAAGGGACAAAAGGCTGCCGGCGCTTGGGGGTTTTCACCTCTGCTATGAACAAACAAGGTGGCTATTAGCACCGCCCCCACCTGTGTGGGAGAGCCCCCCCCACCATCACCACCTGGAGACAGTGCCCAGAATGGTCTCTTGGCAAAGGGACTGAGGGGGAGGAAGAGAGGACGAACGGAACCTCCATGTACTTTGCTGCCTGCTACGGGATGACTCAGTCCTCCCTGACAAATGGCTGTGGTGTGTGACTGCCCAGCCCCCAATCCTCCCACAATTCTTAGGGGCCTCATCTCCACAGAGGGCATCGGGACCTAACTTGTTTGGAATCAAAAGAGGAAAAAAGAGAAATGGACCCTCGCTACTCCCAATAAATATATCCTAAATAGGTAGCACAAACTGTAGCAAGTTTATCACACCGGCTTGATTAAACCTTGTCCAAAATGCCTGTGCTGTAACAAAGCCTCCCTTTATGCAAAAGTTACACTTCAGTCGTATTATTCACATTATAATGAAATAAAAACATTCTTTCCTATGCTCTTACACTAATAGTTGGGATATTTTTCTCCCGGAAAGATCAGAAATATACCACTCCAGAGCTTTTTAAATGAAAATTTTAGCCCATCTCTGACACAGATACCACCACCATAGGTACTATAGAGTCTACAAAAGGAGCATAAAATATGATTTCTTTTCACAAAACAGTTGCTAGTCAGGGAAACTGGAAACACTGATCAATACAAGACTATAAGTAATCAAATTCTACAAAGAGTTGACCTGACAACAAACACTTTAAAAAGCCGGAGAAGTGGGAGACCACATGGCCAGAAAGCCGACAAAGGCTGTAAGTGCCCGGCCACTGCCCTGCTCCGGCTGCCTGCGCCCTGCCTGTGTTGGTGGTCTGGCACGGAACAGAGGCTGCCCAGGGAGGGGCGTCAGATCCTCTGACCAAGGGCCTGAGTCTCCCCTGTGGGCCAGAGGAAGAAAGGAGGAGGGGGCAGCAGGGACCACAAGGGCAGCAGCAACCCAGCGCTGGCGCCTCCTGGCTGCGGTGCTCATGCCACACGCACACTAGCAACAAAGGGGGTGCAGCCCAGTCCTCCTATGTGCACCGCTTTAAAGCACAAAGACAATACGAGCAAAACCAGGACCCAAGTGGCCCGCAGCTGTGGAGAAAATGACATCTCGGGGTGACTGCACATGCCGACTGAGAACACTACAGCGAAATTAAACTCGTCCTCCAGGCCCACGTGTTTCCTGCCAGCAGGACAGGAAGGCAGACCGCACCAGACCCTACCCCTCCCACCCCGAGTAAGGCGTGGGGCCGCATCACAGTCCGCGGTGATCACTGCCTTTAAAAGGAAGCACTTCCTTTTTCCCTCTTTTTTCAGGAGTTAGTACTACAAACACTGCCAGACAAGCACTTTCAGGTTAAGGCAAGTTCTGCTTTGGTAACAACAGTGGCTCAGAGAAGTCTGAGAAATGGCAACATGCTAAATAAATGAGTGGATACTACTACGTATTCCCTCAATTCCGTGGATAGTCTTTAGCGACACCCTCCAAATACTTCTAAACATACTCTCTGCTCAAAACATACCCATTTCTCCTCCAAATGGCCTCACTTAGTTCCCAAGGTTTGCTTTAAAAAAATAATGTTCATCAAGTAGAAAACCACAGAGTAGCTGTGAGGCTGCCGACAAGAGCAGAGGGGGAGTAAAAACTTTAAGAGCTGTCTGCAGGGTAAACAGTGCTGACTGTGGCACCTTGAGAGGCGCCCCGCTCCGTGAGTGCAGCGAGAGCGGCTTTATTGCGGGAGATACAGGGCCCGGAGGAAAAGCAGCCAGCTGCGCGTTCATATCCCACTGCAAGCCAGACCGTAAGTTTCCATTTGCAAATTAGATTTAAACAGAACAGGTGGCAAGTGGCTTTGATCACACTGTAATACGGAATAAAGTGCTAGGAACCCATATAAAGGCATTCACAAGTATATTACTTTGGAATTAAATAGCCTGGGAAGGCACACTGCTGAGGTCCCCGAGCCTCTTGTTTTGATTACACAGACCGGCCGAGACGTCAGCAACCGACCTCTTCGATAACAGAATCCATGGAGTGCTCACGAGTCCGAACCCAGCATCCGGGGACACACCTGACATCTCCTGCGCTAGTGTCCAAATCGGCTATGGGTTTGCCTTGGCACAGCACCAGAGAGCAAAACCCCCAAGTCCATCAAAGAGCACCGTGTTCCCTGGTGGCCTCAGAAACTCTGCCTCCAGTGACCAGACCTAACTTCTTCACGGGCTCCGAGAACCTGAAGCTCCCCCCGTCCAACTTCGGCGTCAAGTGGCTCCAGCTGAGACATTTCTACCCCTTTGGACCCGTGTCACAGTAATCTGGCCATTATAAACCGAGCAGGTTCCCATGCTACAGAAGCAGCTCAGCCTGTCAGAAAGGACCTGCTTTGTAAATCATAAGAAATAGATTAACGTCCCAGGCCTGCTACTAGCTGGTCAGGTGAGTGAAGGCCAAGTACTTAGTCTTTCTGAGGCTCTCTGACCTCATCAGCTGAACTGGCTAAATGCTCTGCTTAGCCTGAAACATGAAGTAGCCGACCGAGGAAAGCTTAGGGTATAAATCCCTGAATAAATGAAGACTCAATCCTGGGCCCTTTGTGAGCCATCCCCTAAGCACCCACCTTGGTGAAACCTTACAGAAAAACCCATAGTACTACCCTGCGGAGTACTATCCCTGCGCTGAACTCCTGGCAGAGGAAACTCAAAGACCTTTTTCTACAAAAGATGTCATGGCCCAGGCAAGACCTGCTGTTAGCCAAGTACACACACAAATCATTCCAATTACATGCACATCCCGGGAAGCCAATCCCTGCATGTTTGTGGTGTATTCTATCATATCACTGACCAGACAAATTCCCAAGGAACCTTACATGGTCAGAGTTAGAAGGACATTTGCTTTTCTGTCTCCTAAGCAGCTCGAGTCACAGCTAGAGAAGTTGAGGCTTGTGTCTAAGGGCAGTATTTCCTTAGCTCTATTCCCGATCAGCAGAGCCCCTTGCATTCCTGGTCAAATGTGCACTGAGTACGATACCCAGACTGGCAGCACTGCGAGGTGGAGGCTGGGCTTCTTCTACTTACTTGGTTTTCAGTAGGAGAAACCACCTCACTGACCGGGGTATGTCTGCACCCCACACGGTGGAGTTTTACCGTTTCCACCAAGGGTTAAGGCAAATGCAAGAGACAGCATACGCCAGCACATCGCTTCCTTCTCTGTTCATTCGTTGGAAATCTCTTTCCTGCTACTAAACCAAAGTACTCAAAACGTGGTATGCCCCCATTCACAGAAAACTGATGGACATGGCAGTTCTTACGGTAAAACAGGAAAATAAAGCAAGCCCTCGCTTGGCTGTACTGTACCTCTAGCATACATCTGGTGCTCTAGGTTAGTCAGACTGGCTGTACTCCTAGTTCTAAGGTAGACAAGGGGGAGGCCTGGTAGACAGGAGAGACAAAGTTAGAAGTAAGAAAAAACACAGTGAATAAGACTCACCTCCAAGCGTAAGCACAGAGTACATTACAGAGATAGCAAGCACCATGCACCAGTACGATCATTCCCCTCAGTGATTTCTAAGAGCTATGAAGGTACCCAACAGCATGAGCAGGACGGTTTTCTGCTGGCATTTATTATGGAGGCATTGTCAAAGAAGCAAGCGCCTTTTTTTCCTCAGTTGGGGAAAGAAAATGTATTCAACATTCTTTTGAACAGAATGACAAGCCTTTTGAGGATTTTTAACTTAAAGCCCCATGTTCTTAGATGGCATAGAAAAGTCACCAACACTCCCCTACCAGCTAGGGGAGGTGCTCGTTCTGCTGGCAGAAGCAGAAGCAGCAGAATGCTAATCCTCGGGGCTCTCCACACTCGAGGCAAAGAGCCCATCTGTGTTTCAGTTTTCACCGTCTTTACTAAGGCGTTACCTCAAAGTATTATTTACATTATAAATTAAACATGGAAGTGTTTAGAATATTTATATTTGATATTTCCATCCGATGTCTTTGGAATACAAAACTAGTCAGTTCAATAAGGTGCCATGCATCCAGGTTTACCTGCAGAATCTCAGCCCTTACTGAACAAAGCCAACAATTATGTCAGAAATGAGGCTATTTTCTTTCCCCTGCTAAAGAAACAGTGGGAAGTCAGCAGCTCCCTTAGGCTGAATTTCACATTATTCCAAGGGCTCCCATTGAAACTGCCCGGAATAAAATGTACAAATCTTGGGGGAATGTGACTAAACAGTCATGAATAAGACCTGAAAGTCTGTGGTCAGTTCAGCAAGGTTCAAACCGACTGACTTTCAGAACCAATGCCCAACAACTACTTCAGTAGGTCGAAAACAGAATACAATTCCATTTGACTTACTGCCACCCAGGAATTTCCAGTCAGAAAAGAAGTTTGGAAATTTAGGTATATTCAGTTACGTCTAATTAAAAGGAAATATTGCACCTTTATAAACCTAAGTAACCATAAAAACCTATAAGTAAATAAAATCCGGCTTTAATTTAGCAGAGGCATTTAACATAGATAAGGCAGCTTATTAACTTTAAAGAAAGAGGAGAACTTTTTTTCTTTCTTTTTTTAAAAGGGCAGAGAGGAGAGGGACAAAAGAAAACCCTTCGCTAGAATCCTAAAGACTGGGCCTTCCTAGTGTTTGCACTGACTGGATTTAAGATCCTCCTGTATGAATGCTTTTAGAAACACACACTCCCTAAGACACAAGACATATTACAGAAGATTATTTAGTCTTCTTGGTAGAATTCTATGTTACATTCTGTTGACACACAAATGGGGAAGGTTAGGGGAGGAGCCCACATTGAAGCAGATGATATCTGAAAAGCCCTGGCTCCGAAGCAATGACCTTGAGTTTCAGAAGCAACAGCCTGGGAACAGAGAGCAAGCAGAGCTGACATTTCCTGCCCCTCGTTCTAGAAGTACAAGGCAGAGAGACAGTCCATTTAAACGTCCTGAGGAGAGACGGACAAGTTCAAATACTTCATACGCTACGAGAATCCATCTCCCCGTGACACGTTTGCAGACCAGATGGAATACTTATGTATTCATGAGCTATGTGAAGTCCTCATGAGCTATGTGAAGTCCAGCCAAGACTTCCAAAGAAACCACACTCAAAGAGCTGGGGCTGAGCTGAATTTGAATGACAATGGCTGTGGAACAACTAAGAACCGTGCAGTTGGCCATCACAATCTCCCCAGCTCCGAGGCAATCAGAGCTCCATGGTGAAGCATTAAATAAGGAAAGAAAACATCGTTAACGGAGAACAAACTGACTCCTCCCTCTTCAAGCGGCTGGGCATTCAAATCTTTTGTATGTTATGAACAATACAGGGCCCCCCTAACAGTTTTTTCCACATGGGATAACCTGCCCTCCCTCTCTTCAAGAAAATAGCCAGTCTCTAGATTTAGAAGACTGAAAAGTTGTTTTTAAAAAACTAGTCAAAAAGTTCCACCCACAGGAATGTTTCGTAAACATTCCTGAGTATTCCTGAGTAAAACCCAAACTGAGCAATGGCTGGTCTCGATGCACTTCCAGGGAACCTGCACTTCCAGGGCACCCGTCCGTGCCGTGTTGCCCGAATTGAGGACCCGTATATTGTAGGTCCTCTCTCTTCCACAAAGGTGAGACTGGAGCTCATATTAAAAGTTGAGTATTTTGCGCCAGAAAAATGTCTCTCACAAAGACTAAAACAGAATGGTAGAAGACAGTCAGAATTTCCTGTTGGTTTTTCCACTGAAACTGATTTTGGAGTTTTCAATGAAACATGGGTCTGTAGGTCAACAGTGACAGTTAGACATTTGTAGAGAAAACCCTTACTTTGTCCAAAGCAGGGAGGATCCACTGAAGAGCCCATCCAGTCTTCTGTTGTAGTTGAGTCTATTTCCTTGTCTTCTTTACAGTAATCTGCCATCCATGATTCCTTGGTACTCACATACTGATCTAGAAAATATTCCCCAAAGACATTTAGAACAGAAGTAGAAAATATGAAAGGTTCAAGTCAGATAATGTCAATTCTGCAAAACAAGCTTCCACGGAATGCCTCACTACATGCTGGGCAACATGGAGATTCTGAGCAAGTCTGTCCCCTGGAGAACCTCATTCTCCACTGGAAGAAACTAATGTTAACAAAACAACCATTAATTACCACAAAACAATACCACAATGTGAGAGGAACTAAAACAAAGATAAGAGTGAAATTCTGTGGGAGCACAGAACAGGGGAAGATTTCGTCTGCTTTGGGAGAAGTGGAGGACCACACATGGGAATTCTGGGGCAGGGGGGTGGACACCTTTGTTCTAGGTCTAAAAGAATGAGTAGAAATTACAGTTTGCCGATGGGATTAGGATACAGGCACATTCCAGGCACAGAGAATAGCATATGCAAAGGCTTCAACATGAAAGTACATGGTACAATCAGTGAACATTAAATATTTCAACATGACTTTGGCACAACATACTGGGGTAAGGACAAAGCAAAGATGATTTAGTGTGTGTAGAGCGTGGAATCCCATGCTAAGTGACAGGGTTTAGAGATAAAATTTAAAAAAGACCAATTTGGAGGCTGTTAGAAAACCACTAAATTCAAGAGGCTGTAATCCACCTGACAGTCCTCTAGCTGTTTTTTTTTTACTCTTTTGAGAGGAGAATTACAACGGGGAGAGCAGGTTAACAAAATGATGTATCGCACCCAAATAAAGACCTTTTATACTAATTAAGATATACTTCCTAGGTGGATAGGGGTGATCAGGCAGGCAGGCAGGTGAGCGGTTAGGAGCCAGCAGTCCAGGGTTGCGAGAAGGATGTCCAACTGCCGGTTTAGGTCCGATCCCTGTTGGATCAGGCCTAAACCGGCAGTTGGACATCCCCCGAGAGGTCCCAGATTTCGAGAGGGTGCAGGCCGGGGCTGAGAGACCCCCCCACCCCTCTCACCCTCTGCACAAATTTCGTGCACCAGGCCTGTAGTAAAAGAAATAACATAAGAAGCGAAATAAAATAGTATAGGAGGATCATGAGATCAATTTACTGTTATATAGGTAATAATATCCAGGCAAATTAGTGAATGAAATCTGATCATGTAAAACAATAGTTTTAAAATTTGAGGATCATTACACTTATGGTCTTATTTTACTATGCATTCTCTCCATCCTACTGACATAGAATAAGCCAATGGATATTCTGAGAGCCTCAATACACCACACACGCTGAAGAAAGTTCACAGATTTGCAACAGTGTGTGTGTTATTTATCACTCAGAGATAACTACAGTTGTCCCCAAAAATCAGATCGCTAGATCAGTAATTCCAAAAGTGTGAGTTGTACAATAAATAATCATGTATGAGTTTCCATGATATAAATACAAGCATAGAGTGGTTCTGATTCACAACACTGAATCCAGGAATGCACACTTCCATGCCGTCAAAGAAACTCTCAGAACATACACCATTAGCTTGGCATCCCTTTTACAAAATGACATGATACCTGATGGGAGACAATACAGGCAACTTATCCTGCTATAAAGACAAGGTCAAAATTATACCTTTTAAGAATTATTCAGTGACTTGCCGGAGAGAAGTGAATCTAAAGCCACTTCTACATGCCAGTGACCAAGCATGAGGAGGAGGAAGTTCATCATGAGCATTCATGTTTCCTAAGCAGGCTAAGCTCTTGTTTGATCGCTGATCGCATTAATTGAGATGCTAACTCTGGAGCACTGGGTTGAGAAGAATCCTGAGGCTAGGTTAGGGATTTTCAGGAAAGAGCCACAATGCATAAGCGATGTCTTGTACAGGCCCAAGCATTTGCTAAACCAGGATTAATAGTCTTCCAGACAAGGGACCTACGTACAGAAATGTACCAACCTTCTGAAGACAACTTTCCACTCACCAATTAGTACTGAAGTGATATTGATGTCCAAACGGGTTTTGGCCTTGGCTTCCAGCTTCAGCCGAGGAGGATGGAGACGACTAGCTGCCTGCTGTTGCCAGGATACAGTGCACGGCCAGGGCTCAAGAAATGGCTCCCAGCCTGAGAGAGCACAGGAAATCAGACATCTGCTCAGCAGATACCAAGAGTTTATAGGGGAACACTGTTCACAAATGCTCAGCAAGGACAGGCTGTAGCTTAATAGCTTTCTATTTCCAATCTGATTTCACAATGAAAGCACCATCTTTAGCCACAGGTCGCCCTACAGATGCCTGTGCTATGGAGGGGATATAAGTAGAAAAGCATGTCTGTGCCGACCATGGTCTTCCAGGGTTGGAGGTGATGTGCCTCTCCCCTTAAAGGGCAGGCAGAGCCTGTTTTTAATCCTCTCAAGATAAAAACGGAGTCTCGGAAAAGTAGCATCACTGGCTGATGTAACTACTAAATTTGATTCCCTTGCTTACATCACGAAACCATTGGTTAAATAGATAGGTATACTTGTAAATCCATTAAGATTTTCCAATTTTTTAACTTAAAATGTCATATGTACAAAGGCATATAAACCACATATATGTATAGTTTAAAGAATAAAATTACTGCAATACTCATGCACGCACTATTCGGCTTTAAGACCTAGAAAACCACGAGTGCCTGCGAAGCCCGAGTGCCAGGCCCCCATCTCCGTCCCCCTTCTCACCAACCCTCTCCCATCCAACTCCCAGTGACCATGCACTTGGGATTCTAATCACTTCCTTGCTCTTCGTTACAGTTTCACCACACATGGATGCATTTCTTAAGGGCATATTGATTAGTTTGTCCTGTTGGGGATCTTTGCTTAAATAGAATCCAACTGCATGTATTCTTCTGCAAGTTTCTATTTTGCTCAACAACATATCTTTGAGATTCACTCATACTGATGCCGCGTAGCTGTGATACATTTGTTCTCACCACTGAACTGTAATCCACTTAGGATTATGCCGTATAATCAATCTATCCGTTCTACCGCTGAAAGATAGGCATGGACTTGTTTCATTGCTGTTAGGAAGCCCAGGGCTATCAGCCGACTGTGCTCATTTTCTGGGACACACAGGCAAGAGACTCCCCGAGCACAGACCTAGAGGCAGCATAATCCTGGGCTGTTGGGATGCTTACACTCAACTTGACTAGGTCATGACATATTATTTTCCAAAGCGGTTGCACCAATTTACAGTTCTAGCAGCAGGAAATAAGAGTTCTATGGCTCATGTCGTCACTAATATTTAATAGTGTCACATTTAATTTTTGCCAGGCTGGTGGGTGAGAAAAATGGTATCCCGCTGTGATACTTTTCAAGGCCAGTTAATTTTTAACAGTTCTAAATATACTCAATCAGCCATAGGTGAGCTGATTTACTAATACAAATCCCACCATCAGCACACTTAGTGACCTGCCTGTGTTCATACAACTTTAAAAGTAAGCCATATTTACTCTGAGAAAACAAATGATTCCCAGAAAAATAGCTACCATATGCCCTGTAAGAGTTTCTCTCAAATAGCAAGACTTGGGCCATTGTTCTCCAGTTAAAACATTTTGAACAATTAGGAAATGATTGTTACTCTGAGTGAATTCGAAACGGAAAGGAAAACGTTAACTAACAGAGAATTAAATGAGTCGGGCTCTAGAATAGCGGTCGCCAACGGGTGGTCCGTGGACCACTAATGGTCCGTGAGGTCCAAAAGGTTGGCGACCGCTTCTCTAGAACACTCAGCAGCAGCACAACACACTGAGGCTCAATTTTCCATTGACAGCAAAAGGAGCAACCCCTCGCCAAAGCTCAGCCTGCACAGCACCACTCTGTTTACTTGGTCCACCGCTACTAAAAACTCTCTGAAGGTAAAGAATTTCCCAGCCCAACCCACTCGGCCCTGGTG